AACTTTGATAGTGTCGACTTTTGAATTACATTATATTATATTATATTATATAATATTTTATATTATATTTAACACCACCAACAAGTCATGTTCATTAACATTAACTAAATATAATATATAAGTAATATTTATATTTATTAAATAGAACATGAAGGAAAATTTACAGCTCATTAAGTCAAACTGACACATATAAGGATTATTTGTAATTTATTTGCAACTTTATGATATTAAATTATTTGTTTTAGCCTTTTTGAGTGGAACTTTCCCAAACCAGAAGTGCCTCCCATAATTTAAAACACAGAAGGCTCAATAGGAAAAAGGTGGGCACCCCTCGGTAGAAATCGCATTCGGGGCCACTGACACATATAAGGATTATTTGTAATTTATTTGCAACTTTATGATATTAAATTATTTGTTTTAGCCTTTTTGAGTGGAACTTTCCCAAACCAGAAGTGCCTCCCATAATTTAAAACACAGAAGGCTCAATAGGAAAAAGGTGGGCACCCCTCGGTAGAAATCGCCTTCGGGGCCCCTCCCCTTGTCGGGCCTTTGGAATCGCCCTAACCCCCCCCCCCATTTCAGTGCCCCTGGGTGTGAGGAATATTTTCTCAGCACACTTTAGGCCCATTAATACTTAATAATGAATTAATTCTGTAATGGCTACTTCCAGCAGGATATGTTTCATATGTTCCAGCATGTCACAAAGCTCAAATAATGGCCTCCACAGTCACCAGATCTCAATCCAGAAGGGATGTGGTGAAATTAGAGATTTGCATCATGGATGTGCACAAAGAATTACAGCAGTTCAGAAAGCGAATAGGGGTCCAACCCAAGTGGCCAGTGAGTACATAGGCCTCGAGTACGTTTATGCAGTAACCTGCAATGATCGATAGATGGCAGTGATGCGTAATATCTGTTAACATGCACGTTTCCAGAAGAAGACAGACTTCCCCACGTGACGTCGTACAATCATGGCCGCCTCCTGAGTGCAAAGAGAAAATGTCACAACGACGAACATCATTTGGTTTTGTTGAACATAGACTAGTATATTAATTTTAGACACCTATTATACATGCTAGTAAAAATGTTTAAAGCAACAGTGCAAAGAGTCAGCACGTCGGCTTATAAAATAACTCAAAACTGTAAATCAAAAGACAGTCATAGTGTCCTCATTATGATTCCTCATGGACGTCGCTGCTTATCCACCAGCTCTTGTTTATATGGGAAGATTCTTCCGAGAAAAAAACCTCGAGTGGTCCATGAAATAGCCGGACTGGAGCCGATCACTTATGCCGACAAGATGCACTTCGTCCCTGGACTGGCAAAGCCGAAGTTTCCTCCTTGGGAACGCGGATGGAAAGAACCGAATCACTATCAGTCCCCTAAACTAGAAGATATGCCTCTGTATAAAGACAAACCATGTTACATATTCAATCAGAGGACGAATGTGCTGGAAGGTAGTTATAGTGTTTCTGTTCATTTTTATGGGAAAGACCGATATTTTGGTATTATATATATATATGGGTGTGTGTATTGTATATGTATTATTTTATGCATAAAATAATGTACTGTGTATTTGCTTAAACTTTGGTTTGATATGTGTATAACAGCAGATATTGTGTGATTGTGATTTGTGTTTAGGTGTTCGACAAGCCCTCTGGCTCAGTAAGTCAGTCCTCATTAAAGGGTTACCTGATCAAATTCTCACCCTTGCTGAAGATCCAGCCAATCAGATTGAGAATCAAGATGAGAGAGTACAGAACGCCATTAAAAATTCCAGACTGTGGGACACCACAGAACACCGGCCACCCAGAGAAAGGTTCTGGTGGGTACCCTGACTGTATTACTGATCTCACTTCCGTAGTATAGAAACAAGACTTACCTTAAAAAATGGCTTTGTCTCAAACATCATTCCTTAATTATAAATTGATCTTCATTAATGAAGTAATGACACATTAATAATAAAATGACTGGACAGGCTATCATGACACCAGTGACTTTTTCAAAAAACTAGAACACACATATTCACTGACCATCTGTCTTTTATATATTTTTGTATGAAACTCATGAGCTTGTTCAGAGTTTTCACAGTTGAGTTTTTTTTTTTTTTTTTTTTAAAGTTATTGAGCCTGTGTTCTGTGTTCTGAAACCTAACAATGTTTTGTGTTTTACATTATTACATACTGCAAACTATTTCATAATTTAAAAACCATCCTTCCTTAAATGAATTGGTTGAACAAAAAAGGAAATTCTGTCGTTGTCTCGCCCTCATGCCATTACAAACCTGTATGACTTTCATTCTTCTGTAGAACATAAAATATATTTTTAATATTCTCTAAAATATGATAAACAAAAGCTCAAACGTGCTTGTTTAAAGGGGTCATATGATGCGATTTCAATTGTTCTTTTCTCTTTGGAGTGTTACAAGCTCTTGTTGCATAAAGAAGATCTGTAAAGTTGCAAAGACTAAAGTCTCAAATCCAAAGAGATATTCTTTCTAAAAGTTAAGAGTCAGCCACGCCTACCTAAAACGGCTCGTTCTATCACGCCCCCACATATCCACCTCACTATGTGGGAAGATTTGCATAACGCCAACCAAATGTTCACGCAAAGAAAGAAGACGTAACTTTTATTCTCGCTGTAGT